TGTGTGTGTGTGTGTGTGTGTGTGTGTGTGTGTGTGTGGCCTTGTTTTTCCTACATCGTGGGGCCCTGCAGCCTTGTGGGGACCGGGTGCTCCTTGTGGGACCCAAAGCCTGGGCCCCACAACTTCGGAGGCTGATTTTGGGTTGGGGGTTAGGTTTAGGACCAAGGTGTGAATTGAGTTTAGGTTAGTTTTAGGGTCAGGTAGGTACCTGTGAGGTTAGCCTTAGGGTTTGTGGTCAGGGTTAGGCTGAAGAAATATAATGGAAGTCAATAGAATGTCCCCAAATGTATAGCTGTGCAAACATGAGTGTGTGTATGTGTGTGTGTAAATGAACCTTTTAAGTCTCCTGTGGTGTTTTTTTTTTTTTATAAAGCTGTGTGTGTCTGCTTCACAAAGGCTGCTTTTCAGGAATAACCCAAAGTGACAGGAGAAAATAAAAGCCGCAGATTCCAGGCAAATTGTAGTTTAATGAGTTTGTGAAGTTTTACCACCTTATTAAGGTCGGCTTAGAAGTTAGGCACAAAATTTCACCACTTTTAGTAAAACAATAAGGCAGCTTGCATTGGGAGAACTAGATAATTAGAAATATTTAGATGATTAGATCTAATTGATTTATAATTAGAAATATTTGTATAGAAAAAGCAAAGCTCGGCACAAACAGCCACACAGGTCCTGAATAAAGTTTTCCATGAGGACTTACCCATTCCCTGAGCGCTGACGGTGAGCGCCAGCTGCTGCAGCACCAGACTCAGAGCTGCAGCTTTAACACACAGTCCTGTCATCCCAAAACCTCTGCTCCTGCAGATTATCAAAGTCTCACAGAGGGATCTCCTACAGGATATTGATGATGATGATGATGATGATGAAGTAAGGTCTCAGCAAAGGTGAGAGGATTTTTGTGTCCACAGCTTTTAAAGCAAAGGGGGAGTGTCCTCTTGTTGCTGGTGGCACAGAGGGAACGGTCCTGTTCTCAACTATTTGGGGGAGTTGCCACTTTGTGTCATCTGATTTAAATATAATTATCACCCACTGCCAAAGACGAAGGGCATAATGTTTGTCTGTTAGCAAAATATCTCATAACCCAGCAGACACATTTTAAAATAAGCTTCCTGAAAGTGGGTTGACAACTACAACTCATTAACTTCTGGAGTGAATCAGTAAATTCTGTTTGTTAGCAAAATATCACATGAACCATGGGTGTTCTGTACAGCTATAACTGACTAACTTTTGGAGCCAACACAAATCACAATGGCTGCCACAGAAAATCAACTTTAACAAACGCAAAAAGGGTTACAACTTGACTAAAACAACTACAAATCTGTCATTTCTCAGCATCWCGATTCTAAAACTCAAAGCAACAAGCAGTGTGCAGTTCCTTCAAGGAATGCTAGGGCTTTAATATAATATGTTTTGTCCCTAAAAAGCTTAAGCATAACTACACAAAAACCCAAATTTAAAACCAACACACAGGCATCAAAGTAGAAAATTGTTACTTTTTTATTTGAACTTATGAGGCAAAATAAGTTTTATATGTATGTGTAAAATCAAAACATTATTTTTTAGTTCTTATGTTTGGGGACTTGTATTAGCTTTAAATTCCTGTGAGTCATCCTTTTAACCAATTCATTGTGCTCTAACTAATGAGCTTGTTGATCTGTATTATTCTCTGACATCTGTTTTCACTAACTGCAGGATTCCAGTAAATTTGCTCTACATGCTACTGCAGCATAAAGAAAAAAATTCAGTGCAGATTACAGGCAAGGAAGGACAGCAGTCATGGGACTTTGGGGCAGTTTTTCAGTCCTGGAAACTTTTAACGACACACGTCTGGGACTTGTCTCGAAGCTTTTCTCTACTAACCTCAAATAGATTTCAGCAGTTGCCTGTCCGAGCCAAAGTGAGCCGTTTCCCATCCTGTCGGGGTGTTTCCATCGCACATCCGGCCRTGTCTGGCTGTCTGGCCTCTAACCAAACACCTGCTGGGAACAAACAGTCCATCAGCTCTGGGGACACACTTAATGTTCATGTTGCTGCATGGAAGGGCTGACACTACACATGGTATAGTTATAGTTCATTACATGAAATTAAAACCTTGCTGTAGTTTGTAGTGTTATCATTTGGTTTCTCTGTTTTTCTTTTCTCTACAATGTGTTAAAAGGGCAAAAACACAAACATTGTTTTTGTTTTTGCCTTGAACGAACATGCTGTAATATTTATAGCGTCACACACTGATAAACCAGCTAATGTGCAGAAAGAGTAAAACGTTTGCTCACCTGTCAACTTTTTTTTACAAAACACATAACTGCAGCTGGAGAAAACACATTCTACATTACAAGACCAGAGTTGTAAAGTAACTAAGTACAAATACTTCTTTACTGTACTTACAGTAAGAAGAATTTGGGGGTATCTGTACTTTACTTAAGTAATTATTTTTCAAACTACTTTTTACTTCTACTTCTTTCATTAAAAAAGGCAAGAAGTACAAAGTCACTACTTTTATTTCATTTTTGCTTGTTTTCATTCCAGCTTGCTATTATAAAAAATAAATACTATCCATATAAATTGAGCCTCCTAGATGGAG